ATCAATGCAAGTGCTAATTTTTCTAAGTGAGAGTACCTATTTTCAGTATCTCCTAGAGTTCGACTTCGATAATAAACAAGGAAATGCGTCACTTGCTTGTCTCGAACTAATACACCACTTACCGCTATCTCGGATACTTCTATATATATATATATATATANATGATAATGAAAATACTTTTAATACTGTATATATATAAACTCTCTGCTCTCTTGACTGGGAGAAGGAAATACTCATTTAAGTATACTACCAAACTTCTATTTTGAAACTTGAGAATCTTCACTCCCATACCACCACTTTCTTTATTAATCACCTCATGTTGCCATTGGCAGATGCTTCATTCTCCTTTCACAAAGACACGCCGAACCAGAATATTCCACAAAAATAATTATACAGATTGAGAAGCCAAAGGAATTACTTGAGAACTTGACCTCCAACCATTTACAATCTCCTCTAGACATGGACCAAACAATGAATCGAGAGAGAGGGAGAGGATTCAGCCGTATATATAATATGACAAGTTTCCTCATATCCCTAATCTTATTCTGTTTGGCTGAGTAGCTATAGTTGTTTCACTTCGATTTCTTATTGGCTAGGAGTTAGTTTACTTCAGTGACACAGAAGTGCATATAGTAAATACAGAGGCGGAGCCAGAATTTGAAGCTTGTGGGTTCGGGATTCTAGTTCGTTTATGTTACTGGGTTCTAAATTAATAATTTATACATATTCAATAAATTTTTTAACATAAATACAGATTTTGGACCAAAGTTATTGGGTTCGGCCGAATCCGTAAGTGCTATGCTAGCTCCGCCCCTGAGTAAATAGTCAGCTTTGAGATGGTAGATGTAAACAGCACCAAAATAACTAGTATACAAGATCAACCTTCCTGTTCATAGGGTAACCCTTAACTACAATAGTATAAGATATGCTATTTAAGGATTTTAACAGAAACGGCTTCAAGAAGCAGAATTCAAAAAGGAACCATAGGAAAGAGATAATCTTCACCATTTAAAATTTAAAGGAAAAATATCCATCCAACACATTGCCTTGCCACCTAATTAAAAATAACTAAGAGTCATATCTCTTAGGAAGTGGCTTGCTTCCACGTGGGGTGGGGTGGGGGTTTTAAATCTTTATTCACTAATTTATTAATTAGGTAATACTTCGCTACCCGGTAATTAAGTATTTACCCACATAATTAAAAATTATTCCAAATTACTTAAAATACTTTTCACTTTTAATATACTTTATATACCTTACTGTAATATACTTTACTATCGTGGTCATGTGATAACATATAAAATTAATACATATATTATTACTTTCTTAAAATATCCATGTAAAAATACATATATTTTCTCAACTTCTAATTTTTTCTAATCTCATATAAAGAGTACAAATTTTCGTATACTTAATTTTTAAAATGGTAAAAATTACAATTTCACATTTAACGTCTTCATCACAGAAGAAATTAGAGCCAACTAAAATTTATCGTCAATACTGACATCATCATTTAGCATGGATTAGTATGGTTGGCAATCAACTCTTTGAAATTTTTGTTCCAAATAATTCAGGTGTTGCAAATGTATTTAAAATCTTTAGCTTCACGTAAAGACTGTCATTTTATTTTAGCTTTTGGGTTTTATGTAATACTATTTTGGCTTTAAAAAATGCTAGTGGCGACAAACGTTATTATTTCCTTTCTAAATTAATGTTGCAAAATGGTGGGTCACAAAACTTAGTAGATATTGCACTACTTCGCATCACACATATGTTGAGAAAATGAAAGCAAGACTTGGAAAGTCTTTGGACCGATTAGAGGAATAATTTGCTATATCCGAAAATAGTAATAATGGTAACTATTCAAAATTATACTTATAAAACTTTTACTAAAATATTTCACATAAAAATAATATCGCACTAACATAATATCTAACGATATCAATGTTATAAACTTATAGGGTCTAACAATAATAATAATAATCTTTAACCTTCTATAATCTCCTAATAGATATAATCCCTTTGAACTCATGTGAATTTACTACGGCACATCCTAATGCTAAGGTACGGGATGTAACAAGTATCGCTTTAATTCTTCTAAGGCTTGTTGGCATTCCGTGGTCTACGCGAAATCCTTTTTTTCTTTTTGAGCAAAGAAAAGAACCTATGACTTCGATCTGATGACCTCGAAATGAATCGACCCAAAGCAGTTATTCGCGTTGTTAGCCTTTGCACGACCTTTACACTATCCACGACCGTGATATCCTCGATGACCTTGATCTTATCGGGGTTAATTTTGATGCCTCGATTCGACACCATGAAGCCGAGGAACTTACCCGAACCGGCTCCGAGAGCAAATTTTTCTGGGTTAAGCTTCATGTTCCACTATCTCAGGATTTTGATTTTTTCCTGAAAATGAGTTAAATGGTCATTTGCCCACAGGGACTTAACCAACATATCATCAATGTAAATTTTCATCAATTTACCTATCTGTTCCTCGAACATTTTGTTAACTAGTCGTTGGTATGTAGGTCCTGTATTTTTTAGACCGGAGGGCATTATGTTGTAACAATAAGTCCCAAACTTAGTGATAAATGAGATCTTTTTCTGATCCTCTGAGTTCAACTCAATTTGATTGTACCTAGAATAGGCATCAAGAAAAGTTAGAATCTCGTGGTCAATCGTGACATCGATCATACGATCAATGTTAGACAGTGGGAAAGAGTCAATAGGGCATGCTTTGTTTAAATTCTCGTAATGTTAATCATGAATTTGATCGTCTATCCAAACGTCATCAAATGACATATAGGACCTCAAAATTGAGTCAATAATGGGGATGGCCACACACAAATAAATAATAGTACTATAATGCTCACAAGAATCCGGAACAAAAATATTATCTTTTTCGACTTAAACTTTTAAATATATGAAGAAAAAAAATTTAATGACCAAAATATGCAACGACCATTAAGGTAAAATGAGATTAAAAAATATATTGTACACAAACGATAACAAAACACTTTCAGCTTTCGTCTCATTAAATGTTTGGGGTCCCATTCGGGTTTAGTGTAACATTACCACCTTTCCTTTCATTTTCTGTTAGTTACTTTCTAAACTTAAATTGCAAACACGACAAATTCAGATCTTAAATGCACCGTGTTTGCGTCATTGAACATGGATTAATACCTAGGTATTATAACATAAATTATGGAATATATAAATAACTATTTTATTTTGGTTCCCATTTTAAGTTAACAATATTTAATTATCATAAAAATAAAATAAATAAAAACTTTTTGCACGTAATAAAAGTTATCATTAGATTTGTACTCCTGGTCATGTTATACGACTTTAAAAGCATATTATTAAGAGGTAAATAAAAAAAATTAAATTTAAATATTGTTTATATATAAAAAGAAATAAAAGCCAAAAAAATTAAATAGTATTTAAAATTAAATTAAAAATTTGAAATTTATAATCACATTCGAACATGCATTTCACTTGAAAACTAATGCAGTTTGTGAGTGGAAAAAATTCCGAAAATTTTGAAAAAGTTGTCAAAATCACTTTTTAATTTTTGAAAAATTCATTTTCAAAAACTTACAAAATTTCATAGAGAAACATATATTTTTTTTCAATCCGGAAAAAAAAAATTATGATCAAATGGGTACCTGTATTGTCGTACTAAAATAAGAATTGTTTTACTAGATAGTACACATGTGCCAACTTTAGAAACTAAATTTTAAATTCAAAACTATTGTTCTGTAAGAACTTTTACTACTTTAATTGTCCTTTAAAACCTTACACCAACAATAACAATAATTCAGTATAATTTTATTAGTGGGGCCTGGAAAGGGTAGTATATCACAAATCTTACCCTTATCACGGGTAGAAAAGCTGTTTCCAAATAGATCCTTGGCATCCTTCCCTTCAAGAACTTCTCATCTTACTCTTGGGGTGACTCGAACTCACAACCTCTTAATTGGAAGTGGAGTTTACCTAGCCGAGCTAATGGGTAGAAAGGCACAGAATAGAAAACGTGGTTGTGAATCGTGTTTTTGTAAAACGCAATTTTGAACCGCATTTTACCTTAACGTCCCAAATAACCGTTAAAATAAAAAGTGGTTCAAAACCGTATTTTGCATATTTTGATAACTAAATTTTTTTTCCATATATTTAAATATTTTGAGTCCAAAAAGACCACATTTTAATTCCAAACACATACCCACAACACTATTGATTGAAATAATTGCTAAGTTTGTCCCTATCACAAAGCACATGGCCTTGCCTCCCAATAATTTTAATGTGTCATGTTACTCGTGCTCAATTTATTACCGTTGAATTTGTGTGAACATATTTGTTTATTAATTCGTATTAAAAAGGACTCGTTTTTTTATTTGAAAATAATTTATTTTTACATAATAATTTATAGCCACACATAATATATGTGCATTATTTTACATCACAAAAGCAAAAGTTTTTTTTTCTTTTCCTAAAGACCGTACCCAGTTAAATAGATTCATATAAATTGAAACGAACAGAGTAATAAACCTCAAATGTCACTTAGCCCAAATACAATGTGTATATATAATTCAAGATTCCTCAAAAATAGGGCTCCAATCACTGTCAAGATAACAACAACAATAACTCAGTATAATTTCACTTATGGAATTGGGAAGGTAATGTATACGCAAACCTTATTCCTACCCTAAGATAGAGAGATTGTTTTCAATAGATTTCCGGCATCCTTTTCTCAAAGAGTTTTTGTCTTTACTTTTGAGGCGACTCGAACTCAAAATCTCTTGATTGAAAGTGAAGAGTGACTACCAACCCACTTGTCTAACCACTTTCAAGAGTTCTCTTTAATATTTTGAACGTCTATCCAAACGTCAGCAAATGACATACTCATATAGGACGTCAAAATGGAGTCAATAATGGGGATGGCTACACACAAATAAATAGTACAATATAATGCCCTCAATTTAACTTCTCACAAAAAAATGACGACAGAATCCATTACTGGTTCTACTGTTAATGAGCAACGTTGGGTCAATGAAACTATAAGAGCTTTTACATCAGAATTGAGAGTTGATATTGAACCTACACCTTGTGTTTTTCAAGTTCCAAAAACACTTACTGAAACTAAGCCTCAAGCTTATACCCCTCAGATAATAAGCCTCGGACCATACCATCACTTCTGGCCGGAGTTATTAGTCACTGAGAGGCACAAGCAAACCATAGCCAAAAATTGCTTGAATGATCACCAGGTCCAACATTTTGCTGAAGAAGTTATCGATAAGTTGTGCTCAGTCGTGCCAGTCATTCGTGGGTACTATGATAAGTACTCGGATATTGAAGGCATCACATTAGCATGGATATTGGCCATTGATTCTCTCTACCTGTTGCATTTATTGAGCAGTTATGTTCCAGGTGATCAAGAAGTTCATGCTGTACAAAGAAAGTTGGCTCAAGATGTTATGATGCTAGAGAATCAAATCCCATCGTTTGTGCTGATTGAAACCCAAAAGGCTATCAATCAATCTTATAGCAATTTATTTACAGAGTTGTTCTACAACTTCTGTAAGGCACATTCTCCCCTCAAACTGGCAGATCCAAACATAATCCATAGCTTCAATAGTCCCCATTTGCTGGCTTTTTTGCACCATTTGATCATCGAATCAGGTATGTTATATTGGTTGGAAAAACAAAGTGGCAGCCTCGTGCCGACTCTTGGTAATCCCGGCCTTGTATGTTTCATTACTGGTTTGCCATGGGATCTCATCAAAGTTTTGTCTAAGAATATGGACAGCAAAAAGAAGCCTTTAGTAGATGAGATTAAAACCCCATCAGTGACACAACTAAACGAAACTGCTAAAATAAATTTTAAGCTCACAGGAGGCATCAGGAATATTAAATTTGTCAAGGAAGGTGGTGAACACGCGTTGTATCTTCCTGAGATCACTTTGAATTCTGATTCTGAAGTGATATTGAGAAACTTAGTAGCATATGAAGCAGTTGTTGCTGGTCAAGATGGGGCACTTAAGGTGGCGGAATATTTGGATTTGATGTGTGGAATTGTGAACACATCGAAGGATGTGGAAATACTCAAGAAATCAGGGATTATAAAAGGAAGTTTGAGTGATGAGGAAATTGCTGATCTCTTCAATGGACTACCTAAAACAACTGGAAATCATAAGGTGAAGTCTAGATTAGCAAGGATCATAGAGTCGGTAAACGAGAAATATGATAATATGTTAAGAATCAAGGCTCAAAGATTGATCAAGAAGCATATTTTTAAATTTCGAAAGTCTCTTACGGTCATTACAACCCTAGTTCTCGTATTGCTGCTTTCTATGCAAACAGTTTGCCAGTACTATGGCTGCGGCAATCATTAGTTCACTCCTGAATCGTCTAGTTTGCTTTCTTGTCATTTTAATTAGTTCATCACTCTTTTATTTTTATTTTTTATTTTTTATTTTCTCTTTTCTTTTCTTGGGGATGGAGGGAGGGAGGGGTTTCCTTATGTAGTGCGTTTATATTGTCCTCTTATTCAAATAAATGAAAATATTTGAAAGTCTTTGATGTCGCCCAAATCGGAGCAAGTGCGCAAATAGCAATTGTCAGGGATGCTATTTAGAGATTAATCAGTATTTATTTTGTCATAAAATTTTAAATTAAAAATCTTTAACTTCAGGACAACTCATATATTTTTTACCGGAAAAACTGAACGGAAAAACTGAAATTCAGGACGCACTGACTAATTCCTAAATAGCAGTCATTTAGAATGTTACCTGGTGTCATTTCTACCCCCAAATCACCTCTATGTGGGATACAAAGCAATCGAAGAAAATACAATTACCCAATATGAGTCAGGGTCGAATCCATAAGGAGTTGAGGTGAAAAAATGTGTATCTACGCGTGAGAACCTTCTAAACTTAGATTAATTTCTTAAATAGAAAGTTTGGTTTTGATTATAATAAGACTTGAAATTAAAACAATCTATCGAACACCTAAAATGCACTAATGAACTTACAAGTAACTCAACAAAGAAAAAGGCCTTTAGCTGTATCCCTAGCCTAGGTGTATTGTTACTAAGTTATACTATAAAAGTTTGAGAGAGGGTGGCGGAAGTGGGGGTGAGAAGGACAATGTCTATATCCGACAACTAGTTCTGGTTCACGTCAGGCGTTCAACTACGGAAGCTTTCTATTCCCTCAGTGTAGCAGTAAGGTTTGCGTACACACGACCCTCTTCAGACCTCACTTGTGTGATTTTACTGGTTTATTATTCGTTGTTGCGTAGCCTAGGTGTAGTTCTACTAAGCTTGCTTAATTAATTGGGGTTGTCATAACAATCAATACAATTTATCTATTCATTATTGAGTCGTTTAATCCAATTTAACCTTCTCAAATCTCAAGGATGCGTTAAGGTCTATTCATAATTTGCCCAAGTTGGAAATTTCGTATCTCTAGTTCAAATCCTTTAATTGAGTTTAATCGACTTCTCAACAAGGAGAAAAATAAATACCTTCAGTATATATATTATCCTCTTTTTCTCTGGTCACCAAAAACCCAGTGTAGTTTTGCAAAATCATTTCATCTCCTTGGAATGGTTTGTCAATTTTATCTATTTGGAAGAAAGAGTTGAAATGTTAAGAGCTGCTTTGCTTTGAAAGAAAAACTTGAAACAATATTATTTTGCCTATAAGTTTTTTATTTGGCTAAGATAATAATATTCTAATCAAATTATTTTTATATATTTGGCCAGATAGAAAAAATTACACAATTAAAACAAATAACTGCGACATCTAAAGAAGAAATAAAAAAAATGAAACTCTATTATTGTAACGACCCGAACTGTCGTTTCCTGTATTTTCGTCCTGTATTCCCCGTTAAATGCTTATTCATATTTCAATATGTGTACTTGGTGAATTTAAGTCAATTCGGATCGAGTTTGGTATGAAATGGGACAATTAGTCTCTTTAAGGAAGAATTAGTTTGGAAAAGTCAACCGGACGTTGACTTATGAGTTAGAGGGCTCGGAATTTATTTTCGATGATTCGGTTAGTTTTGGGGGATGATTTAAGGCTTAGGAGAGCAACCGGAAGTAATTTTGGAGGTTCGGTGTAGAAGTTAGCCTATTTTGGCGAAGTTAGGATTTTGGCGAAATCTGGTTGGTAGGTGAGATTTTGATCCGATGGTCGGAATGAGATTCCGAGAGTTGTCGTAGCTTCATTAGGTGATTTTGGACTTGTGCGCAAAATTTCAGTTGATTCGGAGGTGATTTGGTCGGGTTTTTGATCAAATGCGTATTTTGGAAGTTTTGGAAGAACTTAGGCGTGAATTCGATGTAACTTGATGGTTTTGATGTTGTTGAGGTGTTTTGATGATTGGAATAAGTTTCAATAATGTTTTAAGATATGTTCGTGCTTTTGGTTGAGGTCCCGGGGACCTCGGGATGATTTCGGATGGCTAACGGGAACTTTTGAAGTTGGAAATTTCATAATAGACGAAAGTTGTAAATGAGTGCGCACAAGGCCTCACTTTGAACGATAATATCTCTCGTTATATACGGAGTTGTGTGAGCTAGAACCTATCAAATTAAATCCCTTTGAGTCTAGTTTCTAAAGCAACAAACTGTTCGTCATTTGGAAGTGTATTCAGGAAGTTACGACCATTTCACTGGTCAGGTGTCAGAGCGCGCGAAGTCGCGCGTTTCGCGTGCCTGAGGCAGAATGCCCAGCAAAAACGCGCGAACAGCGCGCTAACTCGCGCGACTGGAGGGTTTTAAGTACTCTAAAGACCGGAAATGAGAGGAATTGAGTCATTTCTCAAGCTTAGGGCTTCCTCTACATCCCAACTCGACCAAGGCACCAATTGCACTCCTAAGTCAAGCTTTTAAGTGTGTTTTCATGGCGATTTCACTTCACAATCACTAGTTACAATATGATTTTGATTGGATTTCATAGGATTTCTTCAAAATCTCAAGAACACCCCAAAGTTGACTTTCAAGATTTGGTCTACAAGAGGTAATCCTACACCTTAGACTTACACATATGGGGTTAATATGGAATTATGAGTATGAATCATGTATTACAACTTATGGTATGTTGATTGGAGGCCATAAATTCCCAATTTAAATACATGAACATGGTAGGGATTTAAAGGTGTTTAATTGATGGAATTTTGTTGGTTGGGTATGAATGGATGGTCATACATGTGTAGTTGGAAGTTATAAATTGGTTAGGAATGATGGTGAGATGAATTGTTGGTTAATGGTAATAGTTGGAAGAACCAATACTATAGTTATGAGGTGTAAATATCTATGCCTACAAGGTGTTTGATAATATGCCTAAATGGCATAAGTTATGGAATTTAGTACTAATATTGGCCCTATTGAATGACGTATTGTAGATTGAAGTTTACCTAAGAGTAGTGTATCATTGTAGTACCATTAAGGGGCAAGTCCCATATATGTATGGTTACAATCCCGTCTTTTAGAAATCGAACTTCATCGATGTTTGTGTGATTTTTTTTTGGCAGATTCGTCGTACGAGGAGGCCAACCGGAGAGGCAAGGGCATAGCGAGCTAGA